TGCACCCCGTAATTAAGCTGGCTTTTGGAGTCCTGCCATAATGGATGGTGTGGAAGTCAGTATCAGTCAAGAAAAAATTATATAGGTCATGGTAGTACAGGGGTTATGCCTCTCTTCGTCTACTCCTTCACTCCATGTGCAGAAGAATACAGAAGATGGAAAGGACTTAGGGATTTTTCCTCTCTCCTCTTAGTAGGACACTTTTCTACAAGTCAGTTCTTACATGGGGGCATGAGAGAAATGAGACCTTTGTAATAATGGCCACAGAGCTATGGAATTTATCTAAGAATGTTGTCAAAGGGGTAGAGTTAGTAGTTCCTACAGAATATATTTGAAGATAACAATGGGATAAGAATAAGACACTTAACAGGTTTGTTTGTTTTTTTTTTTTTTTACAAGTTCCACCTCTTTTGAGTTACCTTATTATTTTTGTATCTTTTTACTTTTCAGAGGAAATAAACATTATGATTTTATTATATTTCTCCCTCTCTAACCCATGAAACTATTCCTTAATTTTTTGAAATCCATTAACTAGAGTTTGGGTTGAGTGGTAGGCAATGACTAAAATGGAAGTTGCCTGTGGAGCTCTAAAAATCAACAGTGTTCAAGCCCCCCAGGACCAATAAATATGCTTTGTTAAAAACTAACACACTGAAGGAGCGCCTGGGTGGCTCAGTCGTTAAGCGTCTGCCTTCGGCTCAGGTCATGATCTCAGGGTCCTGGGATCGAGCCCCGCATCGGGCTCTCTGCTCAGCGGGAAGCCTGCTTCTCCCTCTCCCACTCCCCCTGCTTGTGTTCCCTCTCTCGCTGTGTCTCTCTCTGTCAAAATAAATAAATAAAATCTTAAAAAAAAAAAAACTAACACACTGAAGAAGGTGGGGTGAAGGGCATGAATCACATTTTGTTGTCAGTGATTTAATTATGTTTCCTGATTTCCAATTTTGGTCTCTAAGGGAAATTTTGGCTTGGAAGTAAAGGTGAGACAAGTAATGGGGTAATTTTGAGGGTTGAGATACTACTGGGGCTTCTTCTAGAAGCATGTCTCTGGGATGGGACAACATTGAGTTGAGAGAGAAAAAGGTACAGAAAGTAATGGAGAAACTGACTTGTTTTTAAATTTTTCTTAAGGCTCTCGATTTCAGAAATAAAATATCAGAGAACACCACTAGATTCCTTCTTTTCCTGCATTATTGTGTTACTTTGGTAATGATGTGGACATAATACCTACTACAGAATTATTTCATGGAGAGATCCAAGAGTAGTTGGGTTGAATGCATGGCATCATGTGATACGGTAATGTGAGAAATTCTGATAAGGAAAATAGAGCAGAATTGACATAGCTTTGTGGAGATTCTAAAGACACAGACATAAAACAAAGACATCCTGTTACAAGCTCCTCAGCTCTGTTCTTGAGATCTTCCAAAGAATGTGGAAACAGCTGACCCATCTGGTCTTCCCAGTTACAGAATACCCTAACTTGTCTCTCTGCTAATTGTCAGCAAGGCAGAAGCTTGCCCAAGGAAAGGAAAAAATAAATCACTGTATCAACTATGTCTGCCCTTTTTTCCCCTTCTCTCTCTTTTCTTTGTCTTATATTCATGCTGTTTTTGCATTGGTTAGATTAAATCAATCTGTTATTGGCTTTCCTTTTTATATGAGTAAATGGTGTAATGATACTATCATATGTCTTTGACAGGCAATTTAAAAGTCTGAAAATTATAAGCAAAACCAGCTAGGAAATACTGCTTGAAAAACAGTTCAAAATAAAAAAAAAAAGCAAAGAACAGGTAATTCTAGTGAAAATATTGCTTATTGCTAATCTGTTGGGTATGAGGAAATGTACTCGATGTATTACATGTTTATGCTCATTACAATCCTATCAGTTGTTTCTTATGTGAGACAACTGAAGCCCAGGGAGATAAATTTTCAAGGCCAAAAGGCTAGTAAGTATCGGAACTAGAACTTGAATCTGGGTGTCTCTGGCTCCAAAACTCATGCTTTTTTTTTCCCCCCACTGGAATTTGCTGAAGTTAACTACATAGATATATTTTTTAAACCCAAAACACAACTTTTATTTATGGGGGTTATCCAATATCTTTCAACTCTAAAAAATTATATTTTCTGAAGTTATAGCTAATAAGTAAGCAAATTTGAGACACTTGACAAAAATGTGCTCTTCTCTGTTAAATAAAATAAAAGTGGTACATACAATTAAATCCTTTCTTGTACCTCTGAAACAAATAATACATTATATGTTAAAAAAAAAAAAGGATAGTAGGAAGGGGAAAATGAAGGCGGGGGTATTGGAGGGGGAGACGAACCATGAGAGACTATGGACTCTGGGAAACAAACTGAGGGTTCTAGAGGGGAGGGGGGTGGGGGGATGGGTTAGCCTGGTGATGGGTATTAAAGAGGGCATGTACTGAACGGAGCACTGGGTGTTATATGCAAACAATGAACCATGGAACACTACATCAAAAACTAATGATGTAGTATATGGTGATTAACATAATAAAATTAAAAAAAAAATCCTTTCTTTCCAGGATTACAATTTATATTTTTACCAGCAGGTGGCAGCATTGTACTTACTGCCACAGTAAAAGTGTTGCTTTAGGAGCCTTTTTCTTGGAGGAGGATTTCTGGCTCTTTCGTAAAAATTTCATTTGCGTTTTTTTCATTATGGTTGTTCATATCCTTTTTGCAATTTTTCCAGAATTATTTTCTCATTGCAGATCACTGGAAAGATTTGCTGTTAGAAGACAAACTGATAACTAATGAGAATCATTTGGTGGATTCAGCTTTTGCTACTTTGACTTTTCTCATTTAGAAATAGATGATACATATTTCTGATTTCATGGGTTTTCTCTCTAGATATTGACCAAGAGTGAATTTTTGATATTAATATATATTTTATTTTTAAGTAGCAAGCAGCCATTTAAATTACCTTCCATAAAAAGATTTGATCCTTTAAAAACTTAGAAAAGAAATGCCAAACAAAAAAAAAATCTCAAAATTTTGACCAGGTTTGTCTATTATTAAGCATGAATTTTTTACATATTAAAATTATTAACATTGTTCACTATTATACTGGATTTTCCTCCTAGCGGTCTCTCTAAGACGTCCTCAAAATAGAATTTTTAAAAATGAATCTGAAAATATAAGTAATATGTTCTTATATGCTTCTATTAAAAGGGGCTTCAACTGTATTTATAATTCCCAAACCCTTTTGGTTAGCCAAGAAATATGTAGTTTTCTTACAAAACTGCCTCTCGTAGAGTTTTCTTTTTAAGCCAACTGGGGCTTTAATATGCAGTGTTGTGATTACTCTCCTCAAAAACTTAGCATCTAATTGGCCAAGTAAAGCACAAGTATATGAAACGTTAACAAGCAAAGCAATTCAAGATTTAAACAAAAAGTCAAAACATTCAGCCTCCAGAAACATTTATTGATCCTTAATGTCAGGCTGTTTTGAGCTCCAAAAATTGGGGAACAAAGAGGGGAGAAAGAGATAGAGAGATAGAAACAGAGAGGTACTCTGTCTATATTCTTCAGGTGCTCAGGGGCTTTTGTAAATAGAACTATTTAATCAATTCTATTAAAATACAGTTTGGTTTTATCCCCAGGCATTTTTTTTTTTTTTGTAGAGGAGTTAGTGTCAAGCATAGCACTGATAATTAGTACAGAAATATAGTCCCTCCCCTCCTGTCCGCTTCTCAAGCCATTGCTTGATTTACAGTCAGTAAATCTACAAAGAAATGTAATATGGAGGGTTCAGAGTTTTCCAGAACACACAATGGAAGTGACTCAACACCTCTATCTGGGATTTTAATTCAGGAGGGTGACAGCTGTGTTAGTGGTTTAGAAAGTGATGAATTGACATGATGTTACAAAGCAATGCCTGATCACAAATGACTTGCACAGCTCTATGCTCAAAGTGGTTTAGTTAGAGCTATCTCTATAATGGAAAAGACATTTAGGAGCCCTGATTATGCATCTAACCTCATTTTCCACAGGTAATACTGCTTTTTTTCTTTACAGAGAAGAGAGAGACTATTAAATAGGACTATTCTCAGGTTCTATTCACATCTCTTTATATCCTGCTTACAAATTAACATGTATCTTTCATCTCAACTCAGTGGAAAAGACATTTTCATTTTTCAAGGTAAACTACCAACCTGGTTTCTTCATCCATTCCGAATCCCCCTGATCTTCTTTCTCAGCACCTTGCTCAATCAATTTCCCTCTGTTCTGTAGAATATATTAATCTCTGCTCTCTTTCATCCCTTGCACATCTAAAGAGTTCAAGTTTCTCCCTTCTGTAGAAAATTCTTTTTCTCCCCTCTTGCCTTCAAAGTGCCCAACACCAGCACTGATCTGCCTCCATATTCAGGTTTATAGTGGACGTCTTTCTGGGGCTAAATCACAGGCGTCAAAACTCAGTTTGTCAGTAACTGAACTCACTACTTACCCTGCTGCCCCACCCCTCCCCCACCTCCTTTCTTCCCACTCTTCTTTTCTCCATTTTGATGAATGGCTGCACCCAGCTGACTCCCAGCCTCCCCTGTCCTTGTGTTCTCAACCCATCAGCTATCCTACCCCAAACCCATAAGCAATCCCCATGTTGACAACTGACTATAAACTAGCAACAAATATTACATACAATGGTTATAATTTCAAAGAAAAGATAACATATAAACAGTTTTAAATTTCTTCAATAAATATGTATTGGGTTGTACTATGTGAGACCAGAATAAACATAATGCCATGTCTAGATCTAGATGACATTTTTATTTCTCCATTACCTTTGTGTATATTGTCAAGAAACAATTGAGGAAGAATCAAGAATGATAAAATATTTAAATTTTATTTCCTGGCTTTATTTTTATTTTCAAACATTATTTCTTTCATGAGTCTATGGTAATTTAATAATCTGAAATGAATAACTTGCTGATATAAACTGGAAATGGAAATGCTTATTTTCTTGAATTCTTCTTTTCCAGTTTTACACCACCAGCTCACTGACCAGAGCGAGTGCCGGGGAAAACCTATGAGATAAGATTGATGGTTTTGAATATTTTTAAAAATAATTTTATTAAGCATTAGTGTGACAAAGTAAAAATTGCACTGGGCAACATTAAACAGGAAAGGAAGACTTTATTCCAGTTGAGAGACCAGAACTCAGTCTGAACTCAGCTCTGCAGAAACAAAAGGCAGTATGGTTTTTAAAAGATGGGGTGAGAGAAAGATAATAGGCCATCTGTGTTTGCCAACTGGCTTTCACCAAAGGAAAAGTAAACTTTCTCTCTCTCTTTTTTCTTAAATTGAAGTATAGTTGACTTACAATGTCAGACTAGTTTCTTATTTTCACCATAGTGATTGGACAATTCTATTAAGTTATGCTCACTGGGATAAGTGTAGTCATCCTCTGTCACCATGTAATGTTATTACAGTATTGACTATATTCTCCATGCTCTACTTCTCATCCCTATGATTTATTTATTTTATAACTGGAAGTTTGTACCTCTTAATCCCCTTCACTCATTTTGCCATGCCCTTCCCGCCACTGCCCCCCCCCCCCCCCCCGCCAGCAACGACCAGTTTATTCTCTGTATTTATGCTTCTGTTTCTGGGTTTTTGTTTTTGTTCATTTGTTTTCTTTTTTAGATTCCACATGTAAGTGAAATCATATCTTCATGACAGGAAGAAGTTTTACAATTCAGATCAAGGAGCCCACTGGTTAGACTTCTACCCTTCCGCAAAAATGGGGGTGGGGGAGATGGGGATTGGGGTCCTATCTTTCTTGATAACTACATTTCAAAGGGATGGCTCCCAAGTCTTGAGAAAGATATTCCTAGGTTGTAAAATAGGCAAGTTTTTAAAAATATTTACATTTCAAAGGGGCCAAGAGAAAATTTAGTGACCAGTATTCTTTTTTTTTTTTCAGGTTCTATTTTTTTTTTTATTATGTTATGTTAGTCACCATACATTACATCATTAGTTTTTGATGTAGTGTTCCATGATTCATTGTTTGCATATAACACCCAGTGCTCCATTTAGTACGTGCCCTCTTTAATACCCATCACCAGGCTAACCCATCCCCCCACATACCTCCCCTCCAGAACCCTCAGTTTGTTTCTCAGAGTCCATAGTCTCTCATGGTTCATCTCCCCCTCCGATTTCCCCCCTTCAGTATTCTAATGTTCTCAGGAAAGTAAGAGCTTGAGCCTAGAGTCAGGAAGATTTTCTAATGTTTAGTTAAGCTGAGGAAAAATGTTAAGGCTGTCGTGGTCAAGGGGATGCAAATTCTTTGATTTCATTTCAATTTGCCCTGGAGTCTTTCTGAGCACATTTTTATATAGCATATCCTTATGGTTGCTTGGTATTTGATTTTGGATTTAGAGACTCTGTAATAAAGTAGCCCTTCTTAAATTTGGTCTGACTTAACCTATTATATTTTTTAACTAAACAGTACGTCTGTCAATGATTTGTGTTCTTACTCAAAAGAGTATAACAGAACAATTAGTAGTTGTTAGAAACTGAAAAAGTAAGCCACAGTGTCCTCAACAGACATTGATCCTATTTTGACTCTTTTAAATTCTGATATAAGCAGAATACTCATAAAAGGCTGCTGTGAACAGAGCAGGCAGAGATAACAGAGGCTCAGACACAGTAAAGCTAATTACCTACAGTAAATGGTTTGAATGTGGGCCAATAAGAGACTGGGGAATAAGCATATTAAAACCACTATAATAGAAGACATGAAATGAGACAAAAGAAATGAGGGATGGAAATGTAATGCATGGAAGGAAAGTCATACAGGAGATTAAGAAAATTACATTGCTATTGTGTTTCATTCCAGTTAAAGTGAATGACCTTCCTTGGCAATGGTTCATGAATCCAGTATTTGTAAGAGAACACAGACGCATACAATGGCATACAGGTTAACTTCTTTTTGCCTTTTTCTTCTTTTCTCTTTAATGCCTAGATAATGAGCTACACTGCAAATACAACAATCTATACACACGAAACCTTAAAGAATAGAGATGCAATAGGCTATGCTTATCTAGTTGAAGACAAGACTTTTCCAATGTCATATCTTCTTCTCCAGTCACACACCTGCTGGACTTACACATTAATAATTATTTAACTGATGAAGGATGTATTGTCAGCCTTTTCCCAGTTTTCAGTGAATTGCTAGGCCCAGAAAGTCTGGCCCTTTGTTGAGTGGATGCTTCCATTTTGGTGGAAAGCAATTTTTTCTTTAATTCATTCCCATGTTCACATAACTTAAAAAAATGCTTATTCCCATTATAATAATAATTCCTATTATTCCTATGACAGGACATCACTGGATTCTGGGGATAGGGAGGAGAAACAAAACCTAAATTTAGTGCCATCTCAGATCTGTCCTAAATAAAAAGTTTGTCTTAGAATCATTCTCATTTTAATGAGTATGCACTTAACCTTCAGTGGGTGGGAGGGAGCAAATATCTTTCTATCATTAAAGTTATGAAAATATAAGGTACAGCCTGAGGTGAGTTTACTGCATTCCTATATTGAACAGTAGTTTTGAGGAATTCAGTATTGGTCCAGGGGTTCCCATACTTTCTTAGTTCACAATGAACTTAGTGTCTCAGTAATTTTTTCATGGCACATCTAGATCCAAAGATGTGGTTAACAATGTTTGTTAACTAAATATGTCCAAGAATTTAATAAATATTTATTTCTTAAAAGTTTAATAGTTATTTGAAAGAAATGACACATACGTTGAAAGAAAACATTTTTATTTCATTGTTAATCACAATTATTAATGTGTATACCTTTTGAACACTGCGCAACTTCTCAAATATTTGAATCAGATTGGACACTGTCTTCCCTTTTTCCTATCCTACATTGATTTTCGTAGGTACTAACTTTTCATCATAGTGATTGCTGAAAACATACTTTTGCAAATATATGACATCATCTCAAGGAATATAGTGCAATCAAATGTTAAGATTTTGATATCCTCAAGTTAGCAATTTGTATGGACTACAATGGATATTGAGTATTGCTGTGTTTGATTCTTGATCTTGGGGTCACAAGTTCATGCTCCATGTTGTAGAGATTACTAAAAAATAAATAAACCTAAAAAAAAGCCTGTTAAATATTCCCCAGGACCTTTGTGAATTTGTTATGGCCTACTGGGATGTATGAAGGCAAATACAAATTGAAGAAAAGAGGCTTACTTCTCCCTGTGGAAAATAAGAAAAAGATTTCTTCTCTCTCTGTTTTCTTAGAGCAGTTACTTTAAAAAACTTCTAATTGTAGTTTTCTTTCTGTCTCCTCCTGTTGGGAGGAGATTCTGTTTTTAATTATATTTCCTGAGGCTTTGGCTTTTGTTTCAGAATATGATCCTAGACACAAGTTTCCTCCAAGTTTTGACCTATTCAAACATTACAAATTATGATCATTATAGATTTACACATCTAGACATTTTCACTTTCTTATATGTTGAAGAAATGATTCATATTCCATAACATTACCACAACCTCCTAAAAGGTAGAAGGCAGGTATCACACTCATTTTTAAAAATTGATTTTAGAGATGAAGAACAATCTAACAGGGATTATGTGGTGTGCCAGCAAAATGACAAGGTTAGTACCTAGGGTGAGTATGATACCTATTTTTTTCTCATTACTTTAATGAACTTAGAATATGTGGTTTGCCAGAGAGTCAAATTCAGCACCTGAATTTCAGTATCTCATTCTACTTTCCATAACCTTATAAAAGAGGTTTTTTTTTTTAAAGATTGCTAAAGAAGAAATATGGTTAAATTATGAGGAAAAAACCCCTCATAATTAAGGTATTAAAAGTTGTAAGACATAAGAAATTATGTTCAAGTAAGGTTCTGGAACTCTCCTTTCAGGAGATTATACTTTATTGATATTTTTCCATATTACTTAAAATTATAACATTGTTATATGACTATTGAAACAAGTCAAATAATCCTACCATCCCTCTAGTCCTTTCTCAATCTTTGTTTATTTAATTTTATAAAACTAGAAAACGCATTTGTGTTACACAGAATTTAATACTACTTTTATTATGTCATGGGAATAGTCAATGTCTCCCTAGGTATATCTAACCCAGTGTTTAAGCAACCTTATAGATTTCCAGTGCATGACTATGATGATTATTTTACTCTTCATTTCCATATTTAAAAAAATATTATGGCAGACCAATACCTTTAATTAGGTTTGAATGCAGTTCTGATCAGATAGGAGATGAATTTGATGAGTCTATCAGTTACCTAAAGACTAAACAATCTTACATGGTAGTATATAATATGGTCTTTCTGATAGATTTGATACTTTAGGACATAAAGTGGTTTTAGAAGGAAATTGAAAGAATAGATAAACAGTTTTCTTTGTTAATATTTTGAAACCATGTCATTTAACTTCATAGATCTGAGATTGGTATCTTAGAAAACTTTCAAAGGAGTAACACATTTTGAGCAGAACATGAAGAGGGCAAGATTATGTTTATATTGTTGGAAAAGAAACCAGAAGAGATCAATAAAACTAGGAGCACTTTAATAAAATTGATAAAACCCTAGGCAGACTTATCAAAAAGATAAGAGAAAGGACCCAGATAAGTAAAGTCATGAATGAGAGAGGAGAGATCACAACAAACACCACAGAAATATAAACAATAATAAGAGAATATTACAAAAAATTATATGCCAAAAAATTGGGCGATCTGGAAGGAATGGATAAATTCCTGAAACATACAAACTACCAAAACGGAAATGGGAAGAAATAGAAAATTTGAACAGACGCATAAGCAATAAAGAAATTGAATCAGTAATCAAAAATCTCCCAACAAACAAAAGTCCAGGGCCAGATGGCTTCCCGGGGTGATTCTACCAAACATTTAAAGAGTTAATACCTAGTCTTCTCAAACTGTTTCAAAAAATAGAAATGGAAGGAAAACTTCCAAACTCATTCTATGAGGCCAGCATTATCTTGATTCCAGAACCAAAGACCCCACTGTATCTCAGGCACACTTGCCCTAGTAAAGAAACACCTGCAGAGCGCAGTTGGATGTGGCTTGGTGTAAGCCTCTGAGGCCTCCACTGTTGGTGCTGTTCTGCTCACTGAAGTCAGTCTGTGCTGATGGGAGTTGGGGCAGAGAAAAATGGTGCCAGCCTTCTCCCTCATCCCAGAAGAGGGGAGTTCGCACCTGCCGCTGTCTGGAAATCCCTCACAGAAGAGCGAACAATCTCTCCTACTGTGTCCCAGGTATCTATCAGATCCCTGCCTTCACCCTGTGTCAACAAAATGCACCACATTAATAAAAGAGAGGATGAGAATCATATGATTCTCCCAACAGGTACAGAAAAAGCATTTGACAAAGTACAGCATCCATTCTTGATAAAAACACTC